GAAATAGGGGAAAAATAGAATGCTATAAGGGGAAGCAGGGAGGAAATAGAGTCCAATAAGGGGAAGTAGGGAGGAAATAGAGTCCAATAAGGGGAAGTAGGGAGGAAATAGAATCCTATATAAGGAAATAGGGAGGAAATAGAGTCCAATAAGGGGAAATAAGGAGGAAACCGAATCCTATAAGTGGAAACAGGGAAGAAATAGAAGAGGAAACAGACCTGAAAACCAGAAACAGAGCGGAAACGGAGCAGGAAATGGAAGCAGAGGGGAAAGAGAGCAGGAAACAGAGCAAGAAACGGAACAGGCTAATTAAAACTAACCCCTCCTCAACGTAATTAACGAAGATGTTAATTAACCCCAAGCCGGAAGAAGGGAAGAAAGGAAGGAAAAACGACAGCGGGCAGCGAATCGAATGGGGCCAAATGAGCTGCAAGCCCAACTTCCTCACCCTGGAACGTTCTCAAACTCCTCCACGCTAATTAACACCGGCTCCTTAACGAACTCAGCCTCCTTAATTGGCTTCTTAACGAGCCGAGGCTCCTTTTTCAAGCTCAGCTCCAGCGGGAAGTTCCTCTGCAACAGCTCCGCTTCCATCTTTTCCTCTTCCACCCGTTTCCTCGTTTCCTACGACGAGCTTAATGAGGCGGACGGCTAACGAGCCGCGCTAATTAAGCAATCATCAACCTCACCTGCAGCAGGGCTGCTAATTGCCGCCGCTGATTGACTTCTCCTTCCAACTCCCCCAGCAAGCCGTGCAGCACCGCCATCTCCTGCCCTACGTTGGCCAGCACCGCCTTCAACGACGCCTCCCTCCCTAATGAAGACGCTAATTCATTAATTAAGAAATCATTAACAACCCCCCACGTCGCCCCCATAGGGGCTCATTAACCCAATTAGCGCCCGCCCCACCGATAGCCCTTAATTGGAGCAGCTTCTTCACGCAGCCGATCTTGGCGTTGATGTGGGAGCACAAATCCTCCAGCTCCTCGGCAGCCATTATGGGATGGAAGCGGCCACAGCGAGGTCGCCACCGGAGCCCGTTCGCTAGCCAAGCTCGGTATGAAAACGACACTGCGCATGCGCAGGATTCAAACTGCGCGCTCCGCGCATGCGCAAAAGAAGCAGCAGCTTCAGTGCGCATGCGCTCTATTCGAACACGTCTAGCGCGCATGCGCAGCATACGCAATAAGAAGGAATGCGCATGCGCCAAATAGTGTAAACAATGCGCATGCGCCCTATACAGGAAGCGCGCATGCGCATAGCACTGCTAACCAGAAAACAGCGCATGCGCAGCATAACAAGCGAGTGCCACACGCGCAGTACGCATGCGCTGCATGAAAGGACACAATGCGCATGCGCAATACAGGTAAGCGGCGCGTGCGCAGCACACAGCATCTCATAGCGCATGCGTCAAAAGCCGGATGTTGCGCATGCGCACTACTCAAATCCTTTAATAACGTCGAAAATGCAACTGCGCATGCGCCAACTCAAGCTCACACAGCGCACGCGTCAATTCCTCGAGAGTTGCGCATGCGCAGAACTCGCTTCACTTCGCGCTAGTCAGTACTACGCAGCGCGCATGCGCTCCCCTCTGCACTTCCGGTCGAGAGCGGAAGTGCTGGAGGCGGCTCTGTTTCAACATGTTTCAATTAACGGAATTGGAGCCAATTGATTTCAATGAGCCGCAGCGCCACCTGGTGGCCATGGAGAGAATCGCAGCCCCTATAAACCCTGCGGCTCATTGAAATCAATGGGCTGCGATTCTCTCCATGGCCGCCAGGCGGCGCTGTGGCGCATTGAAATTAAAGGGCTGCAGTTCCGTTAATTGGCCGCAAGGCGGCGCTGTGGCGCATCGAAATCAATTGGTTGCAATTTTACTAATTGGCCACAAGGCGGCGCTGTGGCGCATTAATTTCTATGCGCCACAGCGCAACCTGGTGGCCAATTAGTGGAACTGCAGCCCATTGATTTCAATGAGCCGCAGGGTTTATAGGGGATTTATGGGGGTTTTCTGGGGTCTTATGGGGTTTAATGGGGTCCTAGGGGGGACTTATAGGGTCTTATGGGGTCTTATGGGGTCCTATGGGGTTTAATGGGGTCTTATGGGGTCTTATGGGGTCCTATGGGGTTTAATGGGGTCCTATGGGGTCTTATGGGGTCCTATTGAGTTTTATGGGGTCTTATTGGGTCCTACGGTGTTTAATGGGGTTTTATGGTGTTTTATGGGGTCTTATGGGGTCTTACGGTGTTTAATGGGGTGTAATGGGATCCTATTGAGTTTTATGGGGTCTTATGGGGTTCTATGGGGGCTTTATGGGGTTTTATGGGGTCTTATGGGGTTGTATGGGGGATTTTTGAAGTTTTATGGGGTCTTATGGGATCCTATGGTGTCTTATGGGATCCTATGGGGTCCTTATGGGGTTTTATGGAGTCTTATGGGGTCAGAGACGGTTTGTAGGGGCCTTATGGGATCCTATGGGGTCTTATGGGGTCCTTATGGGGTTTTATGGGGTCTTATGGGATCCTATTGAATTTAATGGGGTCTTATGGGGTCCTATGGGTTCCTATGGGGTCTTATGGGGTCTTATGGCGTTTAATGGGGTCCTAGGGGGGATTTATAGGGTTTTATGGGGTCTTATGTGGTCCTATTCAGTTTTATGGGGTCCTATGGGGTTTTATGGGGGATTTATGGGGTCTTATGGGGTTTTATCGGGTCCTATGGGGTTTGATGGGGTCTTATGGCGTCCTATGGGGTTTTATGGGGTCTTTTGGGGTCGTACGGTGTTTAATGGGGTCTTATGGGATCCTATTGAGTTTTATGGGGTCTTATGAGAGTTTTTCATGGAGCGCCAGAAAACCCCATAAAAACCCCCATTAAACCCCATTAAATCCACCCTAAAAGCTCATAAAAACCCCATAAAACACCGTAAGACCCCATGGGAGCCTATAAGGGTCTGCAAGGTTTAGAAAAGAACTCAATAGGGTGCTGCAATGGGGAGCTGCAGACTGTAAAGAACTACTGACCCCATAAGACCCCAAAAGAAACCCATAGGAACCCATAAGACCCCATAAGGACCCCAGAAGACCCCACAGGACACCATAAAGACCCTAGAAGCAGCCTCAGAACCCATAAGCCCCCATAGGACCCTAAAAGACCCCATAAGGAGCCTCTGAACCCCATAAGACCCCATAAGATCCCATAAGACCCCATAAAACTCAAGAGGATTCCATAAGACCCCATTAAACACCGTAAGACCCCAGAAATCCCCCATAAAACCCCCTAGGACCCCATAAGACCCCATAAAACCCCATAAATCCCCCATAGAACCGCATTAAACCCCATAATATCCCAGAAAACCCCCATAAATCCCCTATAAACCCTGCGGCTCATTGAAATCAATGGGCTGCGATTCTCTCCATGGCCACAAGGCGGCGCTGCGGCGCATTGAAATCAATTGGTTGCAATTTTACTAATTGGCCACAAGGCGGCGCTGTGGCGCATTAATTTCTATGCGCCATAGCGCAACCTAGTGGCCAATTAGTGGAACTGCAGCCCATTAATTTCAATGCGCCACAGCGCCACATGGTGGCCAATTATTGGAACTGCAGCCCATTAATTTCTATGCGCCACAGCGCCACGTTGTGGCCAATTAATGGAATTGCAGGCTATTAATTTCAATGCCCCGCATCGCCGCCTTGTGGCCAATTAGTGGAACTGCAGCCCATAGATTTCAATGAACCGCAGGGTTTATAGGGGATTTATGGGGTTTTCTGGGGTCTTATGGGGTTTAATGGGGCCCTAGGGGGGGATTTATGGGGTCTTATGGGGTCCTATGGGTTCTTATGGGGTTTTATGGGATCTTATGGGGTTCTATGGGGGATTTATGGGGTTTTATGGGGTCTTATGGGGTCCTATTGAGTTTTATGGGGTCTTATGAGAGTTTTTCATGGAGCGCCAGAAAACCCCATAAAAACCCCCAT